ATGTTAATGATTAATATCAATCCTCGATATGTGCAACCCTGGGGAGTTGAAGTACCTATTGCGTTCAGGCAGCTAACTGCAGGGGGCTGTCTAGGCCTCTTGAAATGAAATCACCTGGGGGGATGGTTCAAAATGTGCAACCTCAATGAGCAAGGAATAGAAAATTCACAAAGTAGCTCAAATCCTGCAGGACAAAAATCACAGAATCCCAGAGCTATAAGGGTTCCCACAAGTCACCCAATCCAGCCTTCTTCCCCACAGGCAGACTCCCCCACTGCATTCAACCACAGAAATCACCCAACACCAACTTAAATGCTTCTGATGGCAAAAAAAAAAAAAATCACTGCTTTCCAAGGCAGCCTATTCCAAAATACATAAATCAATAACAATTTAGTTTGGTTCACTCGATATTTTTAAACAGTGATGAATTATGCCAAACTACGGAATGAAGCAAAGTTTAACAGCTTAACAGCTCTCAGTAAGAGAAGAGGACCCAGATTCTAATACTCACTCTTCTGACATTCCTCACCTTTTCCACCCGTCAACTAAGCAGGCCAGACTCTGTGACCTCTACTGCCACTCACTGTCAGTAGCCTCTGATATATGACTTATCCTCAGAGATTGCTATCTCGTACCTCAAGTTTACTGTCTTAATTGTATTTCTCTGAGAGTTCAGACGGATCTGCAAATAAAGGGAAAAAGTCCTACCATGACAGGCAAATGTTAAGAGTTTGAGCAGGGAGAATTTTGTCCATGTATTTAAATGGATGAGCACAACACACTGTGGCTGGGAAACTAACCTGAAGTTGATAAGAGAAAGATAATGTAAGCCTCTTTATTCCAATTACTTCATTTGCGACCAGGTCTCCTGCACCTACAACTACCATTTTATTGACCAAAAATATACTTCTTAGCATCTGCACTTGGTAAATGCACTTGTCAGTGCCTCACCTGCCAGAAATCAAGAGGTTTAACCAATTGATCTTTTGAAACTTCATCCAGCAATAAGTTCTGTGATTCTGTTTATAACACCTGACGACTAGTGACCCTAGTGATTACAGGAAGCCCCACAATCTCTACCATCCATTTCTGAGCCACGACAGTAGACAAGTGACCAAAAGGAAGGAGGGCGGGGTGAAAAAAGCAGACACCAAACCAGTGATCATGTCAACTGCTGAGCACGGCATGTTGGCTCCTGACTGCCTTCCAAAGCCAAATATCTATAGTATTCATTGGTCAGCCACAATTCTTTCCCACTTCCACTTGTTGTGAAAACTTGGAAACCGATTGCAAAGTCTGTCCAAATAAGCAGCTGGTAAACTGATTTCAAAAGAAAAAAAAATGGATTCAGGATGGTGAGAGCATCTGTGGCAGGCATTTTAAAAATTGCATGATTGTTGCACAAAGGACATTCGCTAAAGAATTTTTCCCACAAAGACATTAACGTCAAGAACAAACAACATAAGACTCCCAAAGGCTGAAAGTCTTACATTACTAAATGGTGCTGGCTGAAAAATGACTGGCCACAAGTGGCCCAGGCTGTACCAGAGGGGACCGTCCCCACCCCCCGGAGTGGCAGCCAAAGGCATCTCTGGAAGCAGGGCTCTCTGCTTGCTTTGCATGAGAACCCAGTATATAAACTGAATTATTATCATCATTATCAAAACAATTATTCTAATTCTAATAACCCCAATCTAAAAACGTCACCTATTTTTATACTCAAAATCTTTGTTCTATGCTGGATTTTAGATCTTATTATTTCAAGATCGCCACTGTACCCTCTCTTGGCTCTGAAGGTCTTTCATCGAACTATGTATGACCAAAACCACAGTAAAACTCAAATATCAGCAACCTAAATTCTAATCCTTCCCAATCAAAATTTTCAGATTTTCTTTCAAGGAAAAGTTTTAATGCGCCTAATAAATTTTGGCTTGTTTCCTAAATTGATGTCTGGAGGTTCGAGCAATGAGCAAGTATTATTTTTTTCATTCAACAAAATAATAATAGTTTGCATCCCATTTTTAAAATAGATAAAATTGGGGACGCCAGGGTGGCTCAGTTGGTTAAGCGTTTGCCTTCAGCTCAGGTCATGATCCCAGGGTCCTGGGATGGAGTCCCGCATCGGGCTCCCTGCTCCGCAGGAAGCCTGCTTCTCCCTCTGCCTCTGCCTCTCTCTCTCTCATGAATAAATAAAGAAAATCTTTAAAAAAATAAAATAATAAAATAAAATAGATATAAATTGATGAACATAGGACAGAAATGGATTACAAGAACAGAGATGTCAAGCTATTTGCCCGCATTGATGGGATTACAGTGATTTTTAATGTTCTTTTTCTTGTTTGTTGTTGTCTGTGCTCCCTGTAATGAGCGTGCTTTGCTTTTGGAAGAAGAAAAGAGAATAAGAGAACTTTCATTTAGGAAATAAAGGAATTTGGAATTGTTTCTGCAGCAGAGAGACCTGGCATCCACTCTCCCTCAAGTGCACAGACTTTCTCTAAAGGTCCGTTTCCCTCTGGGGGCATCTCAGGTAAGCAGTGACACCCTGCAGAAATATGGGGGGGGGGTCCCAACCCTGCATGTAACCGTGACACAGAAAGCCTCAATTCCAGTTTATACCTCTTGTACCACCCTAAGGGTTCTGGCAAACTGAAGTGTTAAAACATGAATTCAGATTTCATTCAGTCTGAGATTTGCAATGAATCCTTGAGATATGTCCTTTCAAGATTTTAATGCCTTTTTTCTCTGCAAATTTCCACTGTTTATTTGTGCAAGAAAATAGTTTAAATGGGATTTTAAATAGGGATGAAAAAATTAAGATTATGTCAAAGTCTCATCTGCCAGGGCTAACACTTCACTCATATACACACATATATGTAATTTTTTAAAGTAATCTCTATGCCCAACGTGGGGCTTGAACTCACAACCCTGAGATCAAGAGTCGCCTGCTCTACTGACTGAGCCAGCCAGGCACCCCCACTCATATTTTGGAATCTGTAAATATGTTAGGCTATATTAGCTCCTATAATCTAACACAGGTCTACTCTGAACCACGGCTTGTCACCATAACTTCAATTTGGCCAGTGGTTGAGAACACACTTGTGAGAGGCACTCACCCTAGGGTTCTAAATCCGGCTTTACCTTAACTGCTACGTGACCTTGGGAAGGAGGCAGAATAGCCCTGCATCTCCGTTTTGTACAGGAAAAATGAAGATTCTAAATATCCACCTCACAAAGGCTTAGTGCGGATTTCATCAGAGGGATTCCTAAGAGAGTGCCTGGCACAGTGTAGGCTCTAAAAAGTTGCCGATGTTATTATTCCCTGCTGGTAGTAGGGATGTCTTATATTTGCGTAGTGACTCATACTCTTCAAGGCACTTGCAGATCTTTTACCTCATTTGATCTTCAGGCAACTCTCTCAGTACAAAAAGTAGGAATTACTGCCCCCACTTTTCTCGTCGTTGGTCTTTTTTTATAAACAGCTGAGGAAACTGAGGCCCAAGGTTACAGAGCTCAGAAAGCAGATCCAGGCTCTTTTTGATCAGTAGCACAAGTCCACAACTAAACCTCCAAAGGCTTCAGGTGCCATGCTTGAATATAATCAAATTAAGTCTCTCTTAAAATACTCCATCACTGGGGTGCCTGTGTGTGTGCCTCGGTGGGTTAAGCATCTGACTCTTGATTTCAGCTCAGGTCATGATCTCCGGGTGGTGAGATAGAGCCCCCACTGGCTCCCATTCAGTAGGGTGTTTACTTGAGATTCTCTCCCTCTCCCCATCCATCCCCCTCTGCCCCTTCCCCCTCTAAAATAAATCTTTTTTAAAAAAATAAAATAAAATACTCTGCTATTTATAACTTAATCAAATCAAACTGGTATTTCCACATCACTCCAAATTATTTAGGTTTTGCTTAGGAAAAATAGGAACTAAGGTTATTTAAAGCTTACTGTATATCTCAGGCACTGGACTAAGTGCTTCACAACCAATGCCATACTTAAACCCCATAACAAGCCTACGAGGTAGGCACTGACAGTGTCCACTTTACAAATGGGGAAACTAAGGTATGACTAAGTCCAGGACTGAGATGCAGGCCGACTGTCTCCAACTCTCAGCTCTTAGGACTCTGACATTATCCAAACCTCATTTGTCTAACTAAGACACATTAAGGTTAGTAGCGTTCCCTTTTACATTTGAGGAAACCAAGGTTCCAAGATGTGACGGGATGTGTCTAAAGTTACCCGACCCTCTTCTGGCTCAGCAAGGACACAACCCAGCACCCCCTGCCTCCAAATCTCATTCCCTTCCGAAAGTCTCAAATTCCTCTGCATATATTTTAACGGTGAGATGATAGAAGTCCTGTCGTCCTTGAAAAGCAACAATCCACTTAAAGGCCTCCGTGTCAACACTGAGAGTTGACAGCGTGACCCGCGCGCAGGGCGGTGGAAATGGAGCGGTCTCTCCGGAGCCGGGCTGTGGGCGGTACCGTCGCCAAGTCGGAAGTGGGAGGTGAAATTGTTTGCAGAGCGGCCCCTTGGAGAGGTGCCAGCACTACGTTCCCTATCCCACCCCCAACCTCCTCCCTCCAGGTCCCTGATGGGGTGGAACCCGACATTCAGCTGAGCGTCAGGACGAGGGCGAGGGTGAGGGTCCCGGCACCGATCAAACGCCAAGCCCTTGACGCCTTCCTCCGCCGCCGGGACCCGCCGAGTGCAGCGGATCCGACGAGCGCAGTTTCGAAAAACAACGGCTTGCCGGGATCCCAGTTCAGTCCTAGAGGAGGGACCTGGCAGCCCAGACCCACGCCTCTCTTAACCCGGCACGCCACGCGCCGTGCCTCGGTTTCCCTCGCCTCGAAAAGGGTACACTTGAACCCAAGATGGGAACAGAGGCACACCTCCAGACCTACACGATTTCCAGGAGGCAGAGCGCGCCCTCCCTTCCTGGATTCCTCCCACCAGCCACCCCGGCCCCGGCCCCGCCGGGCTGCGGTGACAGCGCCCCTACCTGCTCGGTGGCCCCCGCCGCCCCCGGCCGGGACGCCTTGAGGTCCCCCGCCCAGCATGCGCCCCACCGGCTCCTCCAGCTCTTCGGCGGTGGGCAGGCTCCGTGCGCCCCGAGGCCCGCGGAGGGGGGAAGCGACAGTGAGCTGGACGGGAAGTGGGGAGGGGGGCGACGAGGAAGGGGGAGGCTCCTTCCTTCTCCGCGAGGCGGCCGGTTTCCTTTCCAGCCTCGGCCCCTTACACACTCAGAGGCGCGCGCGCGCGCACACACACACACACACACACACACGCCCGCGCGCGGTTGGGGACGGCAGCGCACAGCCTGTCTCGGGGAGAAAGTTTGCCGTTCGCGCTCTCGCTCATTTCTGAGCGCACCCGAGAGGGGAAGTGCTGTGGGGGGAACGCTTGTACAGGGAAGGAGACTGGCAGCCCTTTGGGGTGGGGTCTGCGAGGGCACCTCCCAGACGCGTGATTAGGGAAGTGACCTGAGGGTTGATGGAAGAGATGGGGGGGGGGAGCAGGTGGGGAGAAAGTGGGAAGAGGGCAGGCCACACCAGGAAAGAGATACGCAGAGAGTTGCTCAAAAATGAAATGGGAATCCAACTTTCTGAATCTTCTGGCAGAAGTGGACTGGCCTCAGAGCCCCTCCCCCGCGTTGGGCAGCCAGCCCAGGAAGCAGGCTGTGGTCCTTGTGGAGCTCTTAGGCGCCCTGACTTAACTCCTTCACCCCTTCTGTTTGGTTCACTCAAAGAGGCTACTGGAGCACCCCCACCCACCCACCCACTTTAGAACCTGCCAGAAATGGGTCTTGTCCTTTAAGGAGCTCACCGCCAGCTGGGAACATAAACATGTGCATAAAACTAAGTAACAATATACCTACCAAGAACCAGAGGCTTGGCGTAAAAAAAAAGTTGCAGAATTTGGGGGGTAAAAGAGTATTTAAAGAAGTGTCAAGAAGCCTTTCTGGAGGAAAGGGAAGGATCTGGCTAGAAATAGAGGGCCTAGGTGCCTCAAAAGATAAGACCCTTATGGGGGCAAACACATAGATGTGCTTGCAAGTCAACGTGTTTGGGGACAGAATGAATATGAGCATGGATATTAAGGATGTGGGAAAACAGTGAAAGGAACATAAAGTTGGATGAGGCTGAATTTAATGATACAGACCACTAAATGGAGATCTAGATTCAGTGATTTAGTTTGAGAGATTAGAAAGGGTCCTCACAGTTTGTTTGGTTAGTGGACTGAAACATGGACCAAGAGGTGACCTACACTAAATGCTAGAGGTGGCAAGGCCAGACTGGTGTTGGTACACTGTAAAGAAACTCTCCAAAGGCTTAGGGAAATCGGAATATTGGAGGGAAATTATCATGTAAGGCCTGCTCACCCACTCTGGAAGGGTCCTGAGGACACACCTTTCACCATGACTCTGGTAAGTAGCTTTGTGACCCAGCATCCTTGGTCACTCTTCTCTGTGGGTCAGAAATTACAGTGGGAACTGCAACCACTGAACTGGGACCCTTCGATGCAATGGGGATGACTGGATCCCAGGGTGGCAGGGGCCAATGGTGGCAATGAATATCCAAAGGTAAGGGGGGGGCGGTGTGGTTGATGATGGTGTTCCTAGAAGTCAAATAGATGGGAAGTCTACTAAATTCTTACTTGATCTGTATAAGCATAAAAGTTCTAGGTCAAGTGAACAAAAGCTTAACTTGCTTTCAGGTTAAAACAGGAGAGAGCCAGGCCTTCAATCAATTCCCAGACTTGAGTCAGTTTACAGATGCAGAACTCCTCGAATGAAGGAAAAAAAGACCTGGAACACTGGTACTCTTTCCCCTAGCCTTCCCCAGAGGGACATGAGGCCTTTTACCAGGATGAACCTGCACTGGGGAAAAGGAAGTCATCCAACCTTGCAGGAGTGACTGGACACTGGCTCTGAACCAACACTAATTCCGGGGAGCCCAAACCATTGCTGGGTTCCACCAATCACAGTAGGGGTTTATGGAGGTCAGGTGACGAGAGTTTTAGATACCCCTCTCACAGCGGGTGTCCGCTCCCATCCTGTGGTCATTTCTCCAGTTCCAGAATGCATAATCAGAACAGACATACTCAGCAACGGGCAGAGTCCCCACATTGGTTCCCTGGCCTGTTCAGGGAAGGGTCTTATGGTAGGAAAGGCCAAGTGGAAGTCACGACAACTGTCTCTATCTAGGCAAAGAGTCAACCAAAGCAATACTACATTGCAAGAGGGGCTGATGAAATTAGTGCCACCCTCAAGGACCGGAAGGAGGCAAGGTGGCAATTCCCACCACACCCCCATTCAACTTGCCTATATGGCCTGAGCAGAGCACAGATGGATCTCAGAAAATGACCATGGATTCTCATCAGCTTAACCAGGTGGCGATTCCAATTGCAGCTGCTCTACCAGATGTAGTTTCATTGTTTGAGCAAATTAACACATCTCCTAGCACCTGGTATATGCAGCTATTGATCTGGCAAATGTTTTTTCTCCATACCTGTTAGTAAAGACCACCAAAAGCAGCTTGCTTTCAGCTGGCAAGATCGGCAATACACCTTATTGTTCTCCCTCGTGGTATACCAGCTCTCCAGCCCTACATCAGACTGTAGTCAAGCAGGGACCTTATCGCCTTTCCCTTCCACAAGACTTCATGCTGGTCCCGTGTGTTGATGACATGAGGCTGACTGGACCTAGTGAGTGGGAAGTAACAACTCTAGCCTTGTTGGTGAGACATTTGCATGTCAGACAGTGAAAACTAAATCTGCCAAAAGTGTAGGGGCCTTCTATCTCAGTGGGTTTTCTAGAGGTCCACCAGTGTGGGGCATGCCTTCTAAGGGGAAGGGTAAGTTGTATTTGGCCCTTCCTACAACAGCAGCAGCAACAACAAAAAGACACAACACCTAATGGTCCTCTTTGGGTTTTGGAAGCAACATATTCCTCAACTGAGTGCACTCCTCAAGCCCATTTGCCAAGTTGCAGCTTTGAATGGAGCTCAGAACACAAGAAGGCTCTACAGCAGGTCCAGCCTGCCATGCACGCTGCTCTGGCTCTGTTCAATGATGAATCCAGCAGATTCAATGATGCTTGAAGTGTCGGTGGTGACAGAGAAGCTGATGAAGGCTTTGTCAGGCCTCCATAGGTGAATAACATCACAGACCTTTAAGATTTTGGGGGAAAGCCCTGCCATCCCCCTGGATAACTAGTCTCATTTTGAGAAACAGCCTCTGACTCACTCCTGGGCCTTTGTAGAGAATTAGCCTTTAACTGTGGGCCACCATGTTACCATGCAACCTGAGCTACCCATCATGAACTAGGTGTGGTCTGACCTACAATCTATAAATTTGGGCATGCACGGTGCACTCCATCATCAAATGGAAGTAGTGTATATGATACTGGGCTCAAGCCAACACTGAAGGCACAAGGAAGTTACATGAGGAAGTGGCCCAAATACCCAAGGTCCCCACTCCTGCCACATTACCTTCTCTCTCCTAGCCTCTATCTGTGGCCTTATGCCGAGTTCCCTGTAATCAGCTGACTGAGGAAGAGAAAATTCAGGCCTGGTCTACAGATGGTCCTGCACTATATTCAGACACTACCTAAAAGTAGACAGCTGCAACACTACAGCTCCTTTCTGGAACATCCCTGAAGACAGCGATAAAGGAAAATCATTCCGATGGGCAGAACTTTGAGCAATGAACCTTGTTATTCAGTTCACTTGAAAGGAGAAATGGCCAGAGGTACAAATGTATGCCAATTCATGGACTGTGGCCAATGGTTTGACTGGCTGGCCAGAGATTTGAAAGAAACATGACTGGAAAATTGGTGACAAGGAGATCTAAGGAAGAGGTATGTGGATAGACTTCTCTGAGTGGGCAAAAAAACGAAGACATTTGTGTTGCATGTGAATGTTCATCAAAAGGTGACCTCAGCAGAGGAGGATTTCAATCATCAAGTAGGTAGGACGACCCATTCTGTGGATGCCAGTCAGCCTCTTTCCCAGACACACTTAACATTGCCCAATGGGTTCATGAACAAAGTGCCCACGGTGGCAGGGGATGGAAGTTATGTGTGGACCCAGCAACATAGACTTCCAAGCTCAGTATGGTCAGTGCTGAATGTCCAACCTGCCAGAACAAATGATAGGACACCATTAGCCACGGTGATCAGCCAGTTTGCTACTTGGTGGCAGATTGATTACATTGGACCTCTTCCATCATGGAAGGGGCAGCATTTTGTTCTTACTGGAATAGAGACTTGACACTGAATACAGATTTCCCTTTCCTGCTTCTGCCAAAACTACTATCAGAATTCCTTATCCATACCACATTACTTCTGATCAAGGTACTCACGTCACAGCAAATCAAGTATAGCAATGGACCCAGGCTCACAAAATTCACCAGTCTTACCATTTTTCTTATCATCCTGAAGTAGCTGGCTTGATAGAACAATGGAATGGCCTTCTGAAGACAGTTAAGGTGCCAGCTCAGTAGCAATACCTTGCAGGGCTGGGACAAGGTTCTGCAGGATGCCGTCTGTATATGCTCTGAATCAGAGTCAATAAACGGTACTGTTTCTCCCATAGCCAGGATTCATAGGTCCAGGAATCAAAAGATAGATATGGGAGTGGGACCTCTCATCAGCCCTTACTGATCCACTAGCAAAGATTTTGCTTCCTGTTCCCACAACAGTAAGCTCTGCTGGCCTAGAGGAATTCCAAAGGGACAAATGCTTCCGCCAGCAGATACAACAATTCCATTTAACTGGAAATTGAGCCTGCCACCTGGCAACTTTGAGCTCCTCATGTCTCTGAACAATAGGCCAAGAAGGGAGTTACGGTGCTGGCTGGGGTGACGGATTCTGACTACCAAGGGGACTGCCCGTCCGCAGTGGATATAAGGCAGAGTGTGTCTGCAATACAGGAGATCCCTAAGGGCATCTCTTAGCATTACCATGCCCTGTGATTGAGGTCAATGCAAAACTATCACCACCCAATTCAGGCAGAGCTACTAATGGCCCAGACTCTCTAAGAATGAAAGTTTTGGTTACCCTACCTGACAAGGAACCATGACCAGCTGAGATGCTTTCTGAGGGCAAAAGGAAGGGGTAGTTTAAGAGAAGAGTTACAAATACCACCTATGACCAGTTGCAGAACCAAGGACTATAACTGTCATGAGCATTTCTTCCTTATTTTGTAATGACTATGTTTATTTTTTGTTTGGGAAATAATCATTTCAATCCACATAAGCATAACTCATACCCAGATTTCTTAAGTTCTGCCATAGTTTTGGCCTTCATAACA